ATTGAATACATCCCGTCAAAAGGGGTCTACACCAAAAAGCCAGGTAAGAAAGGAGGGAAGAGAAAAGTAAGATGGGTCGTGTGTGGAAATTTTGAGTCCAAAGATCCACACGAAGACACCTTCTCTTCGGGGGCTGATGCTGCCGCCTTCCGGATCATGATCTGGGCCTCTTCACAGTTCCAGTGGCAGGGAACAGTGCTAGATGTGAAAACCGCCTTCCTGAATGCGGAGATGATTCAAAAGGAAGAAGAACAGCTTTTGCTGGTTTTGCCACCACCCTTTTTTGTGGAACGTGGCATTCTCGACAAGGACACGGTGTATTTGCCCTTGAAAGCAGTCTACGGCTTCAGAAGATCACCAAAGCTATGGGGTGACCACCGTGATGCCGTCCTCAATCAGATGACTTTTCAAGTTCAAGAAGGTCCAAATGACCATGAAAAGAAGATGGAACTCCACCTTGTTGCTCTCCAGTCTGAGCCGAACTTGTGGAAGATAGTTCCAACCCAAGATGAAGAAGGCTGCGAGAGACTCTGCGGCCTAATGATGACCTACGTCGATGATCTCCTGATCACTGGCAGTCCAAATGTGGTCAAGGCTGTCAAAGAAAGGATTCAAGAAAGTTGGAAGACCTCTGACCCGCAGGACATTGGCGAAGAGCCTCAAGTTTGTGGGAGTGGAGATCATCAAGGAGAAGTCACCAATGGCGGGAAGAGATCGCTGGATCCTCGCCCAGCAGTCCTATTTGACTGACCTCCTAGAGGGAGATGCCTCAAAGCTGCCCAAGAAGAGAATCCCGATCACCAGAAATCAGTCCAGCATGGAGCCAGATTTGACTCCACCTCAAATCGAAGGTATCCGACTCTCCCAAAAAGTGGTCGGAGAAATGTTATGGGTTCTGACTCGCACAAGGCCAGATCTCATGTATGGCGTAGCGAGGACGGGCTCAGCAGTGTTGAAAAGCACACAGGCTGTTCTTCAAGCTGGCGATCAAATGCGAGCCTACCTCTGGAGCACAAGGAACGAAGGTCTGGTGTATGAAGAAGATGAAACTTCACCTCCTGCCCTTCATGTTTACACCGATGCCTCCTATGCTCCACACTCAGAAGAGAGCCATGGGTGTCTGATCGCGATGATTGGATCTGCACCAGTGTTTTGGCGGTCAGGCCGCCAGACCACAGTCACCTTGTCAACGGCCGAAGCAGAATTGAATGAAATGATTGAAGGCATGACAGCCGGGGAGTCGATCGGCGTGATCATGGATGAACTCTTCAGCTCCGTGCCCAGAATGCTGTGGACAGATAGTCAGTCGGGGTTGACTATCCTGTCAACCGACAGCGGCTCGTGGCGCACGAGGCACTTACGCCTCAGAGCTTCCTTTGCACGCCAGACCATCCAGCAAGCATGGTGGAATGTGGGCCATGTTCAAGGTGAGGATATGGTTGCAGACATCGGCACCAGGCCCTCACTGCAACAAGACTTGAAGATTTGAAAAGGAAGCTGAAGATGGGCGAACCTCAAGTCACCAAGGAGAAAGAAATGGAAGAAGTCAAGTCAACCTTGACGAAAGAAAAGCGGGATGATGAAGGGACTTTGGAGAACCAAGGTCCGAAAGAGATGAAGATGAATGAAGTCACGAAGATTGCTGCAGTGATACGGCTGATCACGATGGCAGCGACCATGACGACTGTGAAGGGTCAGGGAGATGAGAATGACGAAGAAGACACTGGTATGTGGCATGTGAAGCTGGCACTGATGATCTATACAGTTTTGGTGATCTTGAATCTTGATCACAACCCTCTTGTGGATGCGCCTGAAGGAGGGAGTACCACAGAGAGATCGTCGTTCGTCAAGCGAAAGTGTACGTCCTGTGGGAAGCCCTCCCAGGACACCACCAAAAAGAGGTATGAGGATGAGGCGCCAAGACCAGCCGGATTGCCCTCTCCAACTCAGTCTCCAGTGCCTTTCGTCTCTGCTCACCTTTTCCTCCACTCTCGAACTCAGTCGACAGAGCCTCAAGCACAGATCTTGCTTCCGATCCCTGCGCTGCCAGGTGGAACCTCGTCAGTTCCAGTGAGTGGATGTGCCAGTCAACCGGCTTCCGGTGCCGCAGGTGGACACCAACATGTGCCGGAGAATGAAACACATCTTTCAAGCTGGATGACGACTCCCACCAGTTTGGAAGACCCTCAAGTGGCTGTCAAAAAGAAAAAGGAAGAGGAAGAAAGAAAGTTGAAAGAAGAAGAAGAAAGATCGAAGGGGGCCGCCTTGTCACATGCGGTGACACCTTCGACGATGGCGAGAAAGAAAAGTGAAAGAAGCCAAGCACCAAAAGAAGACCCACCACACGGTGATGATGAAGATGAGAGGGGACCAGAAGTCCTCACTACAAGGTACGGAAAAGCGTACCATCGAACCAGAAGTTGCGACTATCTCAGAGCTGCTCGAACAGGAGCTGCCTTGAAGTCCAAGTGGTGCTCAAAGTGCTTGTCCGATGCTCCTGGAGGGCCATGGAACATTTGGACCAACAGCTGGGGCGGAACCGCCCACAGCAACAGAGCGTGTGAAGACCTGGACCGATCAAATCTCATGAGGCGCACACCTTGCACACGGTGTGTGCCATCTCAAAGCTCAGGCAGTTTGAGCTAAGGCTCGAATGTTTTGAAAGTGGTTGCGCGAACCTGACGGTGGCGCAAAGGGGGAGTGCAGAACATTCCTCATGAGTTGATGTACATGTGCAGTTATGTCAGCTGCCTTTTTTGCACAAGAGCAGGGCCCCAAGATAGAAAAACAAGCGTGCGCCGCTATCAGTGGCTTAGCGGAGGTGCGCTGTCCTTTTTTCCGCTATCAGTGAGCTTAGCGGAGGTGTGCTGTTCGATTTGCAGAGCTGGTTGAACGATCTAGGAACCTGATCAAGTCATGGAGAAACAGAAAGAATCCCAGGTCTTTGCCGCTCCTGAGAATGTCAAGATCCTCAAAGCGCTTTCGTTGCTGGCAGTTGGCGCATCTTTGCTTCCAAGTGCAAATGCTGCGGAGACGTGTGAGAAAAGGGAGACCAGGGGAGAAATTGAGAATGGTAGTTGGGCTGATCAAGGCTAGATTCTCTTACTCGCTGGCCTGGTGTGTTGAAAGTACATCTACTCAATGATCAGGCCACATTGCCTGTTAGAGGATCTCCAGGGGCAGCTGGGTGGGATTTGGCTTCATCGGCGCAGGTAAGCCTTCAGCCGGGCGAGCGGCATTTGGTGCCACTCGGCTTGTCATTAGAGGTCCCTCCAGGGTGCTATGGAAGGAGTGCTCCTCGAAGCTCGATGGCATTGAGGGGGGTGGATGTGGCTGGAGGAGTGGTGGATGCTGATTTCAGGGGGGAGGTCAAGATCATCCTCGTCAACAACGGCGCGGAGCTGTTCGTGGTGAACGTGGGAGATAGAGTGGGTCAGCTGATCCTAGAGAAGATTGCGCATGTGAACCTTGAAGTCCCTTCCTCTCTTTCTTCAACAGTGAGGGGAACAGCTGGGTTTGGCAGCACAGGGGTGAACTCTTTGGCATCTTCATCACCCTCTGGGTCCCAAGCTTTGGGCTCGGGGACTGAAGGGGCTTCAGTCCGGCGGCTGTCAACGAGTGGCTGTGGCGCTATTGAGATTGATGTTTTGCCGATGGTGGGACCACACGTCTTTTTTGAGGGAGTTCTGTTCGCCAAAGATGAGGAGTCTCTGCCGCACTTTGTTCGTCGCCTGAGAGATGGAGAGCTGGCCAATTTCAGGTGGATGTTCCCGGACTCACTCATCGAAGAGCTTGAGAGTCCGAGTCGAAGATCGCCTGCTTCCTTTCAGGTGGAGGTTCAGCAGGGCACCCTCAACATCATTGTGTTTAAGCACGGTGAGTGGCGAAAGAAGCTCTATGACACGGAGGTGGGCGCACCGCCTTCCAATGATGGAATTACAGCCGGTGTGGTGAATGTGCCAGAGCTCGATGATGGCAGGGTCTTCGCCCGGGTGGACAACCGCCGTGGAAATCGATCCATGGTGTACCTGAAGCAAAACTGGACGGGGGTCAGCATTTTCTATGCCTTGGCTAGCTCCAATGTCCAAGCCTGCTGAAAAGAGTCTGTGGAGTCCGAGGGTGGCCATGCTGAGAGGGGACCGTGCTTAGCTTTTGGTGTTTGGCCTCAGACATTGTGGGAATGTCGTCATGGGCCATTTAGCCAAAAGATGCATTTTTTTGGCTTTTCCGTGTGGCACACCTAGTACATCCGAGAATCCGGATTCGAAGGGGGCTTGAGTCAGTTCAAATCGGCACTTCCTTTGCACGATTTCATCGCGAGGGGAGAGCACGTTGCCGATTTCGATCTTTGTGATTTTCGCTTGCAGTTGAGACCATAATACATGGTGAGCACAAACCGAAGCCCTTTGTTCAAAGAAGAAAAGGACAGCAGCGTCCTTTGAGAGATAACTATATATGAGTCCCATCAATGGTGGTCAACAGGCCAGATCTATCCCATAGTTATATTGTTTTAACACTACTTGAAACACACTACAAAAGGAAAGTGCCAGAAAGCAGCAAGAAAGCATGAAGCAAACATACGAGAAGCGTGTGAACGGAGAGCGGGCACAAAGGGGAGAGATTCTGATGGTTCAACAAGGACCAAATGAAGAGAGTGAGGGACAGAAGGAGAGAGTGGAGAAGAGAGAGAGAGAGAGAGAAAACGGGAAAACTGCACACGGAACTGCGTGTAAAGTCGTGGTATAGGCTTTTGCAGTTTTCTCGGACTGTTTGCAGGTTGTTGCCACAAACTGCTAAACAAATTGACAGCTGCAAAAAACTGAACTGCGCGCGAAAATGCAAGAAAGCAAGGGACTGACGGATGTACTGGCAACCATTTTCTTAAGAAGCTATTGTCAAATCCATAGATTTGAGTAGTGAATTCTTTCAGCAAGTCAGTAGCCACAAGGGTCACGGTCTAGAATCCTAGGATTCTTGCATTCTAGACTCTACACCCCCACCTCCACAAACTGGTGCTTTCCTGGAGGAATTGCCTGGGCACGTCACACGGATTCAAAGGTTCTTTTCAAAGGTTGTCTTCACATCTGTTGGTCACTTGCAGATTGAATTTCTTGCCGAGAAACGGAGTAAAAGCAGCCTGTCTTCTGCTTCAAACTTGGGTCCAAAGCCATGAAGACTAGAGTGTCACCTACGAAGGCGGTCTCAGTCAGTCTCTTGGTAGAACTGCTTCTCCGCAGACTTGTCAACTGGTCTTGGGGACTCTAAGCATATCTACAATTCTCCAAACCCAGCACACCTCCGAACTGCGGTGTCTCAGCGATTTTCAAGATATTTTCAGCAGCAAAGGCAAAGGCAGAAGAGAAGCCCTGGAAGATTTGAAGTTCAGCTTCAATCAGAACTTACTTCGAAGCTTGTAACATCACTGAGTCTTCAAAATTCGCTCGTAAATTTCCCTTCCTCTCTCTCTCTCTATCTCTCTCTATCTCCCTCTCTCTCTCTCTCTACACCTCTCTCTCTCTCTCTCGCTTTCAATTTATACATTGGACAGTGGGACTCGGGCGTGAGTATGGGAGAGTATGCTTGAAGAGACTCGGTACTCAGGACTTTGCCTCCTGGAGGCACCACAAGATGTGCTAAGATGTACTAGTACAATCCTGGAACCAAGAACCAAGATTCTACAGAATTGGTGGCAGAATTGGTTTTTAAACAGACTCATTTGTGAAAATGATTTGGATCTCACAACTATGGTTCAACTTGACACCTTAACATATAGAGAAATATGCTGAAACAAAAGTTATTTGTCTTAAACTTCCTTGGTGGAATACAGTTCAACCAATATGTGTCAAAGTTTTGTGATTATTTATTTCTTTATTATTGTTATTATTGTTAAACATATATGTGTGAAAAAGTCATAAATAAAATTATGCATGCATAGCAATGGCAAACCTATCAATGACATGGGCCCTTCTGATCTGGACCTCTTTTTGAACCTCCTGAAGGAATCTTGGTTCTTGATTCCAGGATTGTACTAGTACACTTTAGTACCTTGCTATTTCTGCTGTGGCATCCTTAAATTCTACTTGATTAAGGTGTGAACTTGAACAATATTAAGATATTTAATAACAAGGGTCTGGTATTACTCCCAAAAATCGTATTGACGAAGTTGATTTAAACATTGCTAATCATACATTTGTTTATCTCACTTAAGTTATGGTGGGGGCTGAGCGGGGGCTATAGACCTTATGACTAAGGCCTTTTTAGAGGGTGACTAAGCTATCAAATAACTATCAGATCAGCCCCTCCCAGGCCCTCCCAAACAGACATGTGCATTTTTTTGGGTAAAGAATACTTTGTTGCTCGTAGTGTTTGGTAATTGAATTCAGGTTTTCCAGTTGGGATTGGCTACAAGGAGTCTACCAGCCAATGAATCATCAATCATTTTGGGAACTTTTTGAGGCGCCCGAATTGGTCACTTTTGCGGGCCCAGAATCTGCAAGGCTGGAGGGATTTTGGTGTATTCAATGGATAAGCCCTGAATAGCTTATTCAAAAGGCTCTAGTGATGACAGAAATGCAACCAAAGGAGCCCTCAAATTGAAAACCACAAAGGCCTAACGACTAGCTTTTGAAATTTTGATGGACAATTCTGGGCCTAAATACTAGTACAGTATAACTTTCATCATTGATGAAGCCCTCAATCGATTGTCAAAGAACAGTCGCTGGCTTTTTGGAAACGGGGGCCGCGAAAGGAACAGCTGCCAAAGCGAGCAAAGCCAAGGGATGAAAACATTATTGATTGAGATTTGAGATTGGGTGACATTTGGATAGCCTATTCTGAGTCAATCCAAGGCTGATAAGCCTCTATTAGATCCTTAACCTTGTGAGGCACAAGCCTATTCAGGCTGCTCATTGGCAGCTTAAGGATCCACACTGTCGCCCAATCGAAAGACAAACCCTAAGCACCAGAGCCGCCCCCTCCCCTTGAGTCGCCCATGAATCATGGTAATATCTTCGAGATTGTAGGGGGAATGGTGACACTTTACGTAAAGTATACAGTAAAAGTCTCTGGCTGCAAATCCGGTCTTTGCTAAAGGTAGCCCAATATCTGATTTTTTTCATGAGAATTCCAAAACATCTGAGTCAGAATGTAGTAGTTACTACTGATCAAACTATCTGAATCAAATGAGTGTTCCAAACAAATATCTGCGGATTTGCTGGATGCAAAGGCCAAACAACAACAACAACAGAGATGAACACTAATGTTGTGAGAGCTATTCTCGAAGTTACCAAATTGGACGTGCCTGATATAGCAGAGTGTGCCCCAGGTGGTTGGAACAGTTCCAGTTCCAGATCCAGTTCCAGATCCAATTTGAGAGTGGTCAGGGGAGTCAGTTTCAGTTCCAGATTCAGTTCCAGTTCCAGATCATGGTGAGAGTGGTCTGGGGGGGTGAGTTCCAGTTCCAGTTCCAGATCATGGTGAGAGTGGTCAGGGGGGGGGTGAGTTCCAGTTCCAGATCCAGATCACAGTGGTCCCGGGGAGGGCAGGTCAGTTCCAGTTCTAGTTCCAGTTCCAGATCCAGACCTAGAAGCTCGCATGTATTTCTTATATTCTAAAAAATGCTTAGCTCTGCCACTTGGTTTCTGTCCTCAACAGGTTGTTTGGTCGGGCGACTTTTACTTGGTCATGCCATGTCACATGTTTCTCCCCTCTGCTCGAGAGCATTCAGACCGCACCACATGATACGTGTTTCTTTCGATGGAGAACAAAAACAAGGCCTTGCAACCATAGTGACCCAGGGCACGTGTGGACTTCGCAGGCAGTCGGATAACAAGCACATGTGGCTTGCATCTGTGGGTGAAGCGGAGGGATGAAAATAAGGATCAATACACGGAACAGCGTGGCCCACAAGCGGATACGCACAGGTTCGGTATATACACAAACGTCGTAGATTATCGAGACAAAGCAATCTGCAAACTATCTTACCCAACAGTCGCGTTCCCGCGGGCTTCACATGTTCTCAACAACCGGATTTTGTTAGTGCGCTAAACGTTTGAAAAAGGACTTTATTTAATAAAACCCTTTCGAGCTCAGGTCAGGTCCTTAATTTGTTTGTGCGCTAACGTTGGCATAAAATCTTCTGAGGCTTGATCGAATTTATGGAATCCTGCGTCAATATGTTTTATTTATGGAATCCCTGCGCTGAGGTTGCAGGCGCTCATGAATAGCAAACATCGTTAGCTCGTCGTGTCCCAGCTTTTTCTTCTCGGCCAATAGCAATGCAGTAACTCACCCACATAATGAACTCCTTGCATTAACCTTACTCTCTTGTTCTAGATCCAATTCCACATCCCATTTCGGTTGTCATTTCAAGGCCTGTGATGAAATTCAGGAGTTCCAGTTCCAGATCCAGTTCTAGTTCCAAACGTAGGGGCGATTCCGAATTCTTGTAATACGTCTTTTTTGGGTGGGGGGTAGGGGGGTGTTCCAGTTCCAGTTCCAGATCCAGTTTCAAACGTGGTGGCGATTTCAATTTCCCATGAGATAGATTTAAAATTCATGTAATTTTTTGTTTGTTTTTTTTTGGTGGGGGGTGGGGAGGGTTCCAGACCCAGTTCCAGTTCTAGTTCCAAACGTAGTGGCGATTTTTTGGGAGTGGCAATTTTTGGGATTGGGGGGGGGAGTTCCAGTTCCAGATCCAGTTCCAGTGGGAAACACTATGTGATATAGAGCAAAATCAGCACATAACAGTCAAGCTATGCATAGCTAGTCCTGTTGATCCCAGGCTTTTGACAGCAATTTCAAAAGTGGTCTTGGAGTCTGCCCGACTTTCAATCGCTTTCAACGTGAGCTCAAGTGACTACATGTTGAGTTCAGTCTGTGTGTAAATTCCTGCGAGTTTGTCTTTTATAACATCAAATCCTTTGGTGTTTTTTGCACCTTTTGCATTTAGATCTATGGATGTTTAAAGTCTTCAGCAGTTCTGCCCTTTGTACATCGCATAGATGCTGCTGTATTAACAAATTGATAGCGTTGCCTCACTAGTCTATAGATTGCAAACAGTCTATTAATTGAGGCTGCTCAGAATGCCACACAATTCAATGGCAGCCGACATAGTTAATTTAACATGGCAGAACTGATGAAACTGTTTATTGATACCATGAGTAAAATTCAGACTGCTCAGCTGTGAACTCATACTCATACTGAAGGTAATGAATGAAGAATACTCAAGTACATAGTATAATACATATGGAAAAAGACAAAAAAAACAACAACAACAACAACAACAACACCAGCAGCAGCAACAACAACAACCACCACGACTACTTCTACTTCTACTACTACTACTACTATTATCATTTGTGGTGTTTCTACACTGATTTGAAGCTGGGATATGTGTATATGGTTTGTTTGCTATTTCAAAGTGTGCTTGGAACTTAGGAGCTTTTGGACCTGGACAAAAACTAGTCTAGCATTTTGTTAGACATGCATGCAGCATGAGAACATGGTAGACCTGATAGCACATATATATGTATATATAAACACAACCACAAGCCTTCTTTTCACGCGTTGCAGAGAGTTGGTCAAACTTAGACATCACATGCTCTACTACTATACCTCTCGGGGCCCCGACCCAGCGTTCCCTCCGCCAAACCAGGAGAGACGGGGGGCCCCCCTACACCCCTAAACACGCCACCGCCAAACCGGCGCATGCTCAGGCTCGAGTGCTTAAGAGAGGAAACCTCCAGAGCACTCCATCTTAGAGGTTTTTTTGAAAAAAAGACGCGAGAAAAACTCCCCACTCTCATTTTCGAGCCTTGCGTTTTCCACGTCCCCCTGTCCTGGGAAGCGTGCACGACTTCCCAGGCTCAAGCATTGGGGTGGAACGGAAAAGCTTTACATAGACTTGCAGGGGTGAATTAGGGAGTGTCATGTCTGCCAACTGCGCTAATCCGTCGTTGAGGTAAATACGTGCGGTTTTTGAGGCGGCCCACCGCCCCTGGACCAGCAATCGATCGAACGATCCGTGCTGGTTGAACCAAAACGTCGCCCCGCCTCTCCTGAGGCTGTAGGGTCTAAATTCCAAGGGGGTCAAGCGCAATGCTTCAACTGCATTGCTGAACAGGGTACGCCAAGTATGTGGCTTAGGCGTTAAAAATTCAACGGGACGAGCACGCTGCTTCCATCGGTACAGCGCGACCAGTACAGACTCTTCACACAGTGTAATGCTTTCGGCTGCTCCTTGCCGAGCTCCCGCCTTTGTTAAGCCTAAGGACAATACAGCTGGACCCTTGGGAGATGGCGTAAAAACGTCTTTCGCCTTCAAATTCAAAAGCTCTCCCGTTCGCAGTAGTCCAAAGAAGGCAAT